TCCTTGGCCACGTCCTGCTCCTCAGGGAGCACAACCAGAAGGCAACAACCAACAGCAGCCACCACAGCAACGTTTCGTGACAAGGCCTGAGGCAAGGCCGCAGCTCCCCAAGGCCAAGCCAGGAGAGGGCCTGGAGGGACCCCCCAGCGCCTCCCTTTCTGCATCCACAGCACTCCCTGTTGCAGGAATGTGAAGGGGATGAGGGATGAGATGAGCACACACAACACTAATTATCAGCCAGGACTAAAGCCGGCAGCAGTGACCATTTCATGGAGGGAAGCAGCAGCATCGCCTGGCAGCACCGCGGTGTTTTCCAACTGCAGCTGAACTCGCCTCAACCCTGGCGCCCCAGGGCAGGTTTACATAAGAGTGTAATCTCTGCTGTGAATGACTTGTTGTGTTCCCACAGCACCGCATTTCTGACAGCTTTGGGATTTGGAAATCCTCTTGCTGAGTTCAGACCTTGATCAGAAATGGACCCAAAGCCTTTCACTGGTTGTGTTCTGCTGGGAATTTGCATCTTTAAATCAACAAGTTTTAATAGTTGTTACGAATATGAGTTTGCTGTAATTGATTTATAACATCAATTCTTTGTACAAGAGCAACGGATGGTGAGGTCTGAGAGCAAGTTGACAACACGTCGTGGTAGGCGCCCTCAGGAGAGGTGGCTGGGTACCAGCACGGGCTGATGGGTCCTGTCCCCACCTCCCCAGGAACCTCCTCCCTGGCTTCTCAATTGCACAAAAACACCGAAACAATTCAAGGTATTTCCTTGGCAACACCACCAATTCTTGACAATTTGCATTTTCCCACATGAGTGCCTCGTGGCCGAAGCACGATTTGCATGAATCTGTTATAAACCATTTCCCATGCGACCTTTTGAGCAGGAAGTTTCCCTGCAAGCTGCTGAAGTTTCAGAAACAGCACCTGGGATTTGAGAGCCGCTGGGGCACAAGGGGGATTTGGAAGCCGCTGAGGTAAATCATGAAAGCCCCAGCAGCTCAGATCCATTCCAGGGCTGGAGATACTGCATTTCACCAGGACTACCAGAGAAAAACCCTGCTGATCCCGTCAGCAAACTACAATCAAGCATTTCCATTCTGTCAGCAAGATAAACACCTTATGTCTGTGGAAAAAAAACCTACCTTGGGCGTCCTCTCCTATAGGAAATCTCTGAATTTTAACTTTTCACCCAGTGGAGGAATGACAGGAAAGGCCATCACGGTGACCAAGAGCCTGGCAGATTCCCAACCGTATCTTTAAGCAGGCAGAGTTCATAGCTGGGCTCAGAAAAGGGAAAAAGCATAAATAATAATAATATATAATAATAACACAAAATCATAAATAAGAGTATATACTAATAGATAATAGTGTACAACAATAAATATTATAAAAATAATAATATATTATAATAACATAAGTCACTGCTTGACTTGATGTACGTGTAAGCTGTGCTTCCCTTTCGCCTTGCGGTGCAGGCAGGACAGACGCAGTCGCCCGCGACAACTGCATTTCGTGATGGTCTTTTCAGTGCTGCGAAAGCCGGGCGCAGGCAGCTGCTGCCCTGAACACACGTCAAAGCTGCACAAGAAAGGAAATTCGGGTTCGAAAGCAGAAACCAGCAGAGCAGAACTGTGTAAAAGAAGGCAGAAACACAGCCATCCCTGAAACGTGGGCAGAAAGGCAGAGTCAGTGACTCCAAGTGCAGTAAAACAGAGCAAAGCCCGGGATGAGCAGAGATGGGAGTCAGGCAAATGCAGGGACCCGTTTGCTGCAGGGCTGGACCCTCTGCCTGCACGGGGGGAGGTTTTGCAGGACAGCACAGCTCGAAACCAGAGCGATTCTGCACTGGATTTGAAGTGTTTCCAGCAGACGCCACAACTGGTTTCATGGCTTTGTGAAGAGGAAAAAAAATATAAGGAAAATCCAGGCTGAAAGAGCCCAGAAAACAAAACAAAGCCAGCTGAGGGTCATGAAAACACAGTGGCCGTGCCCTGTGGTCAGCACTGGAGCCACACGAAGGCCACAGGGGCTGTGCCTGTGCCCCAGCAGCAGCCAAGCCTCCCCTCGGTGGGGCAGAGCTGTAACTGATTTATTCATTAGCACTGGGGATGCCTCAGCTCACCACACTGCATCACACCAAACGCTTTGGGACCCAAATACCCCTCCTCAGGTGTGTTCAGGGAGGGAGAGCCTAGGTCCGGGCACAGGGCTGGCCCTGGTTGAGCAGTTACACACCCACACAAGGTCAGGCTCAGTAAATTAATTAACGCTTTCAGTTTAAAAAGGAATTGCAGTCCACAGAGCAGCCGTGCTCCTTTCTGCAGCCAACTCCAGTTGTCCCCGTTATCCACAGGGATAAGAGAACAGGTAACCTCTGGGCATCAGGAAACCTAAAAACCCTTCATCATCCCCACCATCAGCGGGAACACCTCCTGTGCTGAAGGGGCTGAGCACCTCCCACTGCACCCCTCGCAGCCTGGCCCCGTCACCCATGGTGTCACCACATGGCATGGCCTTGTCACCCATGGTGTCACCACACGGCATGGCCTTGTCACGCATGGTGTCACCACGAAGCATGGCCCCATCACCTATAGTGTCACCACGCAGCGTGGCCCCTGCGCCCACCCTCCTCCTGCCCCAATCTCCAGAGGGCAGCTCAGGACCCTCCCAAATTGCTCCCCAAAGCAGAAACACCGTTTTAGCAGAGCTTTCTTGTTCATGCTGCTCTCTGCACAGCTTGGTTTGCCTGGGAAGGCTGGGCCTCACGGAGTCACCCATCGCCCACATCCTGTTTGTCACCGTGGCTGTGAACGTGTCCCGGTGTCATGTGGCAGCACCCAAAGCTTTCTCTCAAAAGCACCGCTTGTTTGGACTTTCTGAAGGTGTTTCTCAAGCTGAGTGGAGGTCCAGGCTTGGCCAGCCTGGACACACCTAAAGCACACACCTCTCCCCCAGGTTACAACAAATTAACTTCCCCCACCAAAAGAAATCACCACTTTGGACCATAAACCTGCCCTGATTTCCACCAGGGACACAGCCTGAGGCAGCAGAGCTCATACCGTGGTTTAAATCCCTTTTCCTCTCTATCAAAGGGGATGTGGGCTGTGACCAAGGTGTCCTGTCCAGCCCCACCTGTGCACTGGTCCCTACAGACCAGTCCCTGCGAAGGCTTCCCAGAAAAGCAGCTTTAATTCAGTGTTTGTTCCTAAGGAGGTGTCGGGGCAGGGGAGCAGACCCAGGCCAGCCCCATCCCTTCCCATCGGTCCTCATGGAGCTGGCTTGGAGCACCCTCTGATCCTCACCCAAGCGGAGGGGTCCCCAGCACCAAGGGGTGAAACATCACCCCCATCACACCTATTAGGATATCTTCTTTTCTGACACAAACGCATACCACAGTCGTGGGTACAAATTGAGGAGTGCTCCCAAACCCGAGGGGTTCCTGGTCCCGTCCTCAGTGCTGGAGCTGTCTGTTCTCCGTGGGCACCAACACAACCTGCACCAGATTTTCTGGATGCTTTCAGACACCCATACACTTGCCTTTAACTCCAGCTTGTCCAAATAGAAATAATCTCTTTTTTTCTCATTTCGGCTGCAATTATTGGCAAAGAAAAGTGAAACAGCAAATCACAGGCAAAAAACACGATGTCTAGCACTAAGCTGCTCTCCCGGCCACTTGTCTTATTACCATCTACTTCATCCTTTCAAGAGAAATTAGGGACACCAGCACAGACTCCACTGGCTTGGCGATGTTCAGTAATTGGAGGACTGTTGGGAACAGGGTGTTTTTGTTTGGGGCTGATCTCAGAGGGAAGCTGTTGGGTTTAACCTGAGGTTTCTGAGAGACCCAGGAAGTCCTGCACAGCAGCATCCCAATGGTAAACAGCGCGTGGTCTGCTCGCTCAGAGGTGTGACTCACACAACGCATCCACATCACACTTAAAGGTCTTCAATTGTCTTCGAAAAACACAATTATGTTGCTGGGGCTGAAGGAGCAGCCTAATTCTGTGCTGCCTGGGAGGGAAATAAAACGTCTCTTTATCTTCACATCTCTGTTTATTAAATCACTTCCCATAAGCTATCAAGTTCATCTGACTGTCCCTAAGCAAAAGTGAACAGCTAACGACCTTCCAAAGACGAGCAGCCCGAGGGGCATCACCCGCATCCCTGGGTACCAGGCACCCAAGCACCGACCACCCTGGGGACACCGCTCTCACCTTCAAGAGGTGAAACCAGCCTGAGCTCTACAGTTACAGCACTGGAAGCAGATGCTTATTTTCTCAAACCTGGTAAAATTCCAGCCAAGTGATTTGCACCCATCGCTGCTGTCAGCACAGCCGACCAGAGCAATGGGTCCCTGTGTTGGAGATGGGGAACTGGACAGTGGAGCTTGGCCTGTGGAAGCCACATGGACCCAGCATGCACGTCCTTGAGCGGCAGCAGCACCGCAGGGCAATGGCAATGGCAATGGCCTGGCTCATCTGGGCAGGGTGCTCCAGGCCCACTCCTGCACACCCCGGTAAGTCACCACGGGTCCACATCTCTGCCCTGTGCCTCAAAGTGTCGCTGTCTGGGGTCTGCGCTGTTGTACGCTCTGGGCTCCATCCTCTTTCTGAGGGAACTGGTTTTGAGTAGCGGCACGGGCTTTATTAAAGACCTTTGGAAGACTACAGGAAATAAATAGCTATCAGTTTTGCATTCCATTAAAAACATTATTAACACTGAGGAAGTTCGGCAAAGGTTCTTCACGTTTCAGACACAGTCATTTTTCACGCTAACGAAGGAGTCCACAGCGTGCCCTGATTAAAAAGTAAAATAATTTTAAACCCCAGAGCTGTTTAAACATCGCCAGCACTGCTGTCTGGAGCACAGCCGTGCAGTGCCATCGTGCATCACCCACTGCGTGCTGTGGGGTGACCTGCCCTCGGTCCGGCCCACGCTGCAGCCCCACGTCAGACCCGGCTTTCCTCCTCTTCCACCGCCCGGTGCAGGCCTGGGATGAATTTCAGGAGCTGCTTTCGGACGCTGGCTCTCCTGCTTTTCCGTGGCAGAGTCCCAAAACCACTGCTGTAGCCGCTTCCCTCCCAGAGTGGGGACATGGAGC